CTGCTTTTGGTATTCCTTTCTATTTTTTTAAAGCTGCCAGTTGAAGTTAATGGTTTTGGATTACAGTACTCCTTTTTCAGACGTAGGCATTGATTACTATGACTATTCCCCTGCATGCTGTTTTTACTGCGCCCCAAGGCTTTTGATGTGTCTTCATAAGCATTGGACTCCAGGGTTTATTTTTAACTCTTCACTTTAGATTTATTCTTCGACCCAATAGTTTTTAGTAGCATGTTATTTACTTTTCATTTCCCCCTGTGACCGATCCTTGCCTCATACTATTATGGTCAGAGAGGGCACTTTGTAGGGTTTCAATCCTTTGAAAATGCGTTGAGACTTGTTTGGTGTCCTAGCATATGATCTGTTCTGGAAAATGATCAATATGTGCTGGGGAAGAATATTGTTGCATGGAATGTTCTATGTATGTTCATTAGATTCCATTGTTTGATCACTTTATTTGTTTTCAGTGTTTTTAGCAATGTTTTTAGATCCCTAACTATAATTGAAAGTGGTAGTGTTGACATCCTCTACTATGGAGTTAGCTGTTTCTCCTTTAGTATTAGTATTTGGAGCATTACAATTGCTAAATATGCATATATTATTTCTAACATATATGTATATATAATTGTATGTCTTCTGGCTTTGTAGCTGTTTTATGAGTATGCACTGTTCTTTGTCTCTTGTAATAGTTTTTTTTATATATATAAAGTCTTTTATCTGCTTTCAGCATAGCCACCAGTGCTCGTTTTTGTTTATGGGTTGTATGAACTATTTTTTTCTCTTGTTTCATTTTCTGTATATATGTGTCTTTATCACTAAGTATGTTTCTTCTAAATAAGAAAAAGATGTATCATGATATTAAAAATCTATTCTGCCAATCTCTCTTTAGCATGGAGTGTTTGGATATTTATATTTAAGGTTATTACTGAAAACAGAGTTTCATTCATTTTGCTTTTTGACTGCTTTTCTTTTTTTTGTTTTGTTTTGTTTTTTTCTGATTTTTGGAAAGCAAGCATGGTATGGTGGTAAATCCCAGAAACATCTTTTTGTTTAGAGTGTTTTGATTTTTCCCTCAATTTTGAACAATAGCTTTCATTGCTGGGTAAAAAATTCTTGGCGAGCAATTGTTTTTATTCAGTATTTTATATATGTTGCCCCATTTTTTGGCCCCAAGTTTCTGGGGGAAAATGTGTATGATTCTTATATAAAGACCCTCAGTGTATTCTATCGAGTCTTGCTGTTTTCAGAATTGTCTCTTTGACTTTCATTTTCAAGGATTTTATTAAGGTATAGCCAGTAATTGAACTTATTTGCGTCTTCTAATTCGGGTTGAGGTAACTTCCTGTATTGGCTGGCTGGTTCTCTATTTAGGTCTGGGAAATTGTCTCTGATTTTTCTCTTGGAAAAGTGTTTCTATGTCGTTGTCATGATGCTCTGGGCTTCCAGGATTCTAATGTTCCATTTGTTAATTGAATCCCATACTTTCTTTGTTTTTTTGTTTTTTGCAGTCCCTTGGTTTTTGCTCATTTCTCTTGAGACTTGGTAAGTTCAGTTATTTTTGTCTTTTAATTCATTTATTCTGTCTTCTACATGTTCAACTCTACTGAGTTGAATTTAGATTTACCTGTCTGACCTTACCCCCCACTCCTTCTTTCATGTTCCCGTACCAGCCAGTCAAGACTATTAGCTTATCATGCATGCCTTCTGCCCTCACTTCTCCTCTGGTTCTTTTGGCGTGGAAATGAACTCTCATCTTTGCTAGTTGAAATACTACCCATCGTCTGAGACCCAACTAACTGAACTAAAAGTAGGTGTTTGAATATTTGTTAGGAAATGGAGACTTCTCCGTAGGAGCTGTCCCCAGCTTGAAACATATTCTAGTTATGTTACGTTTTGCTTAAAATGCTCTGAGTAATTTGTTTATTGTTTGTTTTTGTTTTGCATATCTTATTTTTAATAGTATGTACTACATATTATTTTTGAATGTTAAAATATATCTGTCAGTTTATATTCCAGCCCCCAAAGACAAGATCAGATTTTATAGGCACTGAAATTAAAAAACAGGAATAATGAAAACATTTTTAAAAAGACGTATTTGACTTACATCTTAGTTGACTTAATGAGAGTGGCATGGTCATGCACCCGCACCGTAAGTCAAGGACTGCTAGGGTACGCAGCAATGGCATGGAGTGACCAGAACCTCCCGTCCTACCTTGGTGACCACAGGTACCTGAGCACGGCCCACACCCCAGACCCGGCACACAGTTGTTGGACATGCTGCTGAGTGGGAGAACTAGCGCACTCGTGAGCTTCCTGAGTTCCTTTTTGTCGATTTCTTCACCTAGTAAATTGTGTAGGTCTAATTGCCAATGACATTTAGACGCTTTTTAATAGTAGGCCAAACACGCCAAATATTCAACTGACATCACATGTGGCCATAAGCGTTCTAGGTGACCCCCACCCCCTTAGCTTTTCTGTGTGAACAAAGTCCAAATACATCTTGCTTTTTTTATAATTCAAAGAAAATATCTGTGCCATTATTCTGGGAGCACATAACTGCCAAGTGAAAGCTGGCAGCATATTTCTTGGTGACATTCACTTGTTAAAAGCTCTGCACGTAGAGTGGGCACCTTGGGCACACTCCTCGGTTAGAGCTACATGTGTGTCTGTTGGCCCTTTCTTCAGACGCCATGGAATTTTCAGGAGAAAGTCTAGTTGAGCTTGGCCTTAAGAACTTGTCTTATATGATTTTTTCACTTCTACCTGCCGGTTTCCCCAAATAAAACAACCTTCTTTTTTCTTTTAGTTTTGTGTGTGTTTCCTGAGTTTTAGTGTCAATGGATGCTATTAAAAAACAAGAAAGGAAAGAAACTCTTCCAAACACTACTATTGTTTTAATTTTTTTTCTTGTAACTAATACTTAAACATCAAAGATACACTAGTACTTTTATGTTGTAGAATGTACATCAGACCATATTTTCCCTAAAGGTATTCGTGGTCCAGAGTTTGTATTCTCTGGTTTTATTTTGTTTGCTGTTAGCCTTCTGGTTTCAGAAGTCATATGAATGATGCATTTTAATTTCCTGAGATCGCTGGTGGTTGGGAAAAGCCATAGCAGGGTCATACTAAAAGCAGGAAGTTTAAGAGATTTTAAAAATATTGTATTTAAGTACTCTAAACCCAAAAAAGAAGGCTGCCTTAATGTTTAGCCTCCAAAAACGTTGTGATAACCAAAGGGCCCTGGCCAATTTTAAAAGCTGGAATGCTTCAATAGGGCCCTGCTACTGCAAGTAAAATCACTGCGGGCTGCTCACAGTTAACAGCTGCCCAATGAAAGGTTCGGGATTTGAGTCTATCCAGAGGCTCTCTGGAAGAAAGGCTCAACATTTCAGAGAACTAGACCATTGAAAGCACCTGTACTCTGATGCCCATTGGGTTGCCATGAGTTAGAAGCAGCATAATAGCAACCAGGACTGGTAACTAATGCTAACTCTAGAAAACCCTTACAGTGTTTCTTTAAAGAGCTATCCGCTCTTGTATTTGAGCCCTGGTGATGCTCTCAATTAAGCATTCGACCATTAACTACAAGAGCAGTAGTTCAAGCCCACCATCCACTCTACAGGAGAAAAATGAAACTGTGGCTCCCATATAAACCTACCTCCTTGGAAACCCTGTTGAGGGGGCACTATGAGTTGTAATCAAGTCAATGACAGTGAGTGTGATTTTTTTTTAGCTCTAAAAGAATGTTTTCAAAATTGTATTCACACTCTTAATTGGGAAAATGTTTCATGAAATTTCGCCTTTGAAAAGCATGTATTCCATCAAAGAATTACATTGTGTATCATATACATATTTCCCTAAAATGCTTGTTTTTTACATCCTTATAATTACCGACAATCTAACTAAAAAAATCCAAACTCATTGCCATCAAATTGATTGTGACTCATAGCAACCCTATAGGACAGGGTAGAACTGCTCCTGTGGGTTTCCCAGGTTGTAACTCTTTATGGGAATGGAAAGCCTCATCTCTCCCCTTTGGAGCAGCTGGTGGTTTCAAACTGCTAACTTTGCGATTAACTCAACATGTAACCCACTGTGGCACCAGGGCTCCTTACTGATGATACAGAATAAGAATGGTATTTATCTTAAATATGTACCCTAAAGAAGCACTAATTAGTATGTTTGCTTAGAACACTTGTTAAACTGATTTTCTTAGCTACAGTGAGTGGGTAGAAGTGGGAAAACTATTTGAATCATCAGAAGAGAAATCCAAATGTAACCAAAAGTGGTAACACAATATAAAAAATAAAATAAAACTAAATAAAAAGAAAAGAAAAGGAGACTCATCTGGTAAAAAATGCATACATACAACCCCACCCCACCCCAAAATAAGGTAGGAAATGGAAAGACATTTCCTATTATATTCAAAAAGTTGTGTTCACAAAGATGTGTTTCTGATTTACTTCCTCCGCATGATCTTCTCAGAAAGAAAGTATCGTAAATGAACTGCATTTTCCAATTGCTATTTTGTTCTTTACCTAAAGAAAACTCAAGGGCTGGCCATGTAGGGTCAGAAGTAATGCCACAAACCAGTTTTCTCTTTAACTCCTGTCTGGCCCTAAAGAGCACTGCACCGTGAGCCCCAGCCAGGCCCTTGGATCTCACGTGTCCCCCTTCTTGGCCTGCAGATGAATGGAGTGGTCTTTTCTCGAATGTGCAGCAGGTCTTCTAACACTTGACAGGACAATCCTTTTCCAGAAGGGTTAAAATATGATCTGGAAAACCACGTTGACTCCTTGTGGCATATTTGCTATTCTTAGCCTGGTGAGTAAGCTGGAAGTGGATGAATAATGCAGGTTAGAAGGAAAACAGATGCTAAATATTATAAATAGGAAGGTTTTCCAGCAATGAGGCTTCATTTTAGGACTAAATTTTTGTTGGCATCCTGATGATCCTTGGTGTTTTCTCTCTCTCTCTCTCTCTCTCTCTCTCATGTCCAGCTGTTGCACATCTGTATTGAAGGCTGGGGCAATTGGCGTTGGTCGGAACCCTTCAGTGTGGACCATGCCGGGACTTTCATTAGAACAATCCAGTACAAGGGTCGAACTGCTTCACTCATCATCAAGGTCCAGCAGCTGAGTGGCGTGCAGAAGCAGGTAAGTTTCTGGGTCTTCAGAGCCCAGATATCTACAGAGAAAACTTGAGAAGTGGAGATAATTCATAATAATGTAAAACACTCACTGTGGTTCTGCCATAGATCCTATCATGTGTGATGGTCGTTGATTTGGATGATGATGATGATGATGATCTCAAAGCCCCAGCCCAGGTCTTTTACAAGAGCTGCTAACGAGCAGTAAAATTTACTGTCAGACTCACCTCTTCTCCCTGTCACCACCTACCTTCTGATGGAGGTGCTAATGAGCTGTGAGCTGGAGAAAGGGCCTTTATTAGAAAAGCAAAGAAGCCAAGGACAGTGGGGCCCCTGCAGAGCCGCCTGTGGGTGAGCAGGGGCTGCTGCTCAGACACTGGAGGGTAATGTAGGGGGCAACGTGGCTGTGCTCTCCACTGGGCCCGGCTCTCTGGCAAGCTTGCCTTTGCTTAGGAGTTAATGTGAACGCCAGTAAAAGTGCACTGCAGTCTAGTGCTTGGCATATAAAACCCCAACTCTCAGCACATATTTTTACGTATTTTATAAAACTTCCTTTTGGCTGTTTTTGAAGTTCTAAGACGGCAAAGTGGGGTGGGGGAGTCTCTGACACTTTTTTGTGTGTGTTCTTAAGATGTGAAAGTGTGGTTTTAAAAATATGTTTTGAAGCGTGGAGCATGACAGGAATAGAAGGGGGTGGGGAAAGGAAGTGTTAAAATCTGAACACTGGCTTCACGGCACACAGAATAACTGGATTTGCCATCAGAGTTTTCATATACCTATCTGCATGAAACTGTCTGTCCAGAACTTAGAACTGAGGACAAGATAGAGAGGTCCCTTGGGGCCTGGAAAGGGCAGCTTGCCTGATCAGGGAGCAGAGGCTCTGGCATTGCTGTGTGCCTGGAATGAGCAAGGTGTGCAGTCGGGGACTGAGCAGGAGGACCCTAACAATCCTTGGTCTGCATCTAACCAGGAAGCTGGCCTTCATGTTCTCATTATGATAAGCAGCAGAAGAGAAAGGGAAACTACAGCCTAGCCGTCCCAGAAAAAGAAGGGGCTTCCGCACAAACTGACACACACACACACACACAGTTATTGATTTACTGCTTACAGTGGGACAAGGCCCCTTACTTACCAACAGAGTGACAGTGTGAACTTATTCTTCACAACCAAGGCCTGACAATCTGATTCCTGAAAATCAGTCACTGCGAATTCTGTGGAGCACAGTGCTTCTCCGATGCCCACGGGACACCATGAGTTGAGTCAATGGCAGCGGGTCTACCAGTGGAGCAGGGTGAAATGGAAGAGACCAGCTATGTGGCGTAATCTCTTCTCGTAAACTTGAAACGTGTATAACCCAGTACACACGATTGACATTAAGTGTGAAGGGAATTTGGGAGACTTTCCACACACAGGGCATGACTATGGCTGGCTTTGGAAAATGCTTAGACTTTGGATTAAGAATGAACATTCCAACTAAGAAGTAAAGTACAAACAAAGACGCAAATACAGGAAGGGGGCGTTTTACCGAAGGCTTCATGAGGAGCCCGCCTCACTAGGGTGAGCGCTAAGCTTTGGCCCTCAATGTCCTCACAGAGCTCTCACTGACTCCCATCAGCCTTCGGAACTCCCTGATGTGGATGTGCTCTTAGTGAGTGTCAGCACTCTGGTTTGAGCTTTCAAAGAATGCCTGCTCTGTCTACCTTACCATTCACCAGTGCGCCTGAGAAATGGTCCATCACTCTCGGTTTGAGAATGTGTGTGTACTCAGGTGATGAGAGGCTCCCTCTTTCAGAGGACACCCCTTCCTATCTGTGGTTGCTTCCAGCTGAGGGTCTTTTCCCCTCATGAGGAGCCCAATATTGTCACCATTCAGGCAGCTTTTATCATTCCCAAAATGGGCGAGGCACACACAACAAGTTCACAATCACTTGTGAGGACTCTACAGGTCAGCTCTCCTCTGTATGACAGTCCTCCAGAAAGACAATGAGGACGGATATGCCTCCTTTTAATGTCCTTCTTTCTAGACCAGTGAGTCTCAAATAATAATGTCCATCAGAATCCCCTTAAGGGCTGTTTCTAACCTAGATTTCTGGATCCCTCCTCTGGAGTCGGTAGGTCTGGGGTGTGGCCCGTGGCCTAAAAAGTTTCTAACATCCCCAGGTAATGAAAGAGCCCTGGTTGCATTGTGGGCTACACATTGAGCGTCTAACCACAAGGTCAGTGGTTCAAGTCCACCAGTCCTTCCAATGGAGAAAAACAAAGCAATCTGTCCCCATAAAGATTGAAAGTCTTGGAAACCCTAACAAGCAGTACTGCTCTGTCATATAAGGTCCCTGTGAGTTGCAATCAATTTGATGCCAATACGTTTGGTTTGGATATAGTTGACGTTGCTGATCCAGTGACCAAACCCTGCCTACCATAACTCTAGTCAGAAGTTTTTCTAGTTCCTTCAGTCCCTGATGTGATTGCTAGAACATGTGTGAGAAGGTAGATGGGTAGGACCCTCCCTGGAGAAATGGGTTTGATGTTATTGGTGGTGTCGTATCTGTTGCCATCGTATCTGTTCCTACTAATAGTGACTACACACAATGGAATGAAACATTCCTGAGGATGCACCACCCTTGCTATCATTGTTTTGTTTGAGCCCATTGTTGCAGAACGTTGTGCCAATCCATCTCACTGAGGGTTTCCTCTTTTTTGATGACTCGTTACTTGGCAAGGTTCTTTCTTCAGGGACTTCTCTGTCCCGAGAGCATGCCCAGAATTCCTGAGATGAAGTCTTTCCATCTGTGTTAGGCAGGGTTCTCTAGAAAAACAAAGCTAGGACATTTATGATTACATATATATAAAAGGATAAGTTTATATAGCGAAAAGGAATGCAGCTGCTAATTAGTCCACACAGCAGTATAGATGGCTCAGTTCAACTCATTTTCATGGAACAATTAACATAAAGGGGTTACCCACCCCCCAAAAAAGAATGGAAATTAGCTCTGCTGAGCAGAGCTTTCATAGAACACATTTTTCCCGCCAGGGTGAGTATCAAGCAACTCGCTGAGTTATTTAGTGGCACCCAGTGGCGTCACCTGGGAAGCTTCTTTCTGGTCACAGTGAATTTTTTCATAAAAGTAGTTTCACTCAAACCTCGTTTTTTGTGATGACTGATTTAAGAGAACAGCATGCGGCTGTGAAGTCTTGTTTCCTGCTCAGGAAAAATGCAACAGAAACTGTTGTGATGTTGAACACAGCTTACAAGGACAGCGATATGTGTACAAGTGGTTTTCTCATTTCAAAAAAGGTGCAATGTCAATTGATGACAAACATTCTAGATATCCGTCAACTTCCCAAATGGACGAAAATGTTGCCTCATAGTGTATTTGTAGTTTGTTCTTCTAGATCAGATCATTAATCAAGCTTTATATTTAGAGGTTATGAAAAGATAGCATAACAGTGTGTGACCAAAAAGGCCTGATTTGTGGCAGACAGGGGACTGGTTTTGCCACCACAACAATGCATCTGCTCACACAGCCATCTCAGTGCATCAGTTTTTGGCAAAAACAAGCATGCCTCTCTTGCCCCACATACCTTACTCACCTGACCTCGCTCCATGCAACTTCTTTTTGTTTCTGCTAATGAAGATGGGCATGAAAGGATAGTGACTTACCACTTCGAAGAGGTGAAGTAAAAAACAAGGGAGGTGCTATCAGCCATCCAAATAGATGAGTTTGAAAAATGTTTTCAAGAATGGAATCGCGGATTTGCCAAATGCATTAAGTGTAATGGAGAGTACTTTGAAGGTGATACGGTTGCTTTATTTTAAAATTTTTAATATATAACTTTGGGGGGGAAATTCCATTGTGGTTTTTTTTTCAGGGGGCGGGGGAACCTCCAAGTATACTGAAGGTCCTTCAATTCAAGAGGAACCTGCACCCAGGCAAGACAGAGTCAACCCACAGGCAGCAGACATGGCAGGGTGGGGCAGCAACAGCAGAAGATGAGAAGTTGAGATGTAGCAGAGGCCAGTAGCTCAGGAGCACAAGGAAGCAGGTCTCGTTGGAGCCACCAGCTCAAGTGATGCACGGGCAGGGCGACATGATCCACGGGGTGGCTCGGCACACAGGTAGTGCAGCACGTGGTTTAGGCAAAAGACTAGCTCAGACAGCAGCATACTGGCCTGATCACCAGGGAGAAAGAGAGTCATTTATCTCTGTCGCCCTCCAATCAAGCTGCGACCTGATTGAGAGACTAAACTCCACCCCTTCACTGTTAATACCCTCAAGTTGACAGATAATGTAACTACCACACCATCCTTCTAAAAACTACTCTAGCTATTCTCCTTTGGGCAGGCCATGGTATAGTTAACATCCATTGCCCACCTTTTACATACATATAAGGCAATTATATATAAGGCAGAGAGATTTCATTACATATCTTGTTTTATCCAATGAAATCTGATGATCGTTAGTTTTTTCAGCCTATTTTGTTCCCTGAATACTATATAACAAGTATCTTCTCAGGCTATTTAAACATGTCTGAAATGTTATTTTTAATGGGTGCATATGATTTGCAGACCAGGGTAGCACAGAGCAACCAGACAGTTAAAAAGTGCTCTAGCTTGCTGGAACTGAGGATAGAGACTGAAAGTCAAAATGTGGGAACTTTTAGCAAAAACCTGATGGCTGGCCTTACCTGGACTTGCCTAGACAAAATCACATTCTTCTAGAGATTGTTTCTCTGACCCTCCCTGGGCTTACCTGGACTTGTCTAAGCATAGTCTGGACTTTCCCAGACTTGTCTTGGCATAACTTCAGCAAATGGTTGCAGTTAGTATAAGGGTTATGACTTAAAAGCAGAAGCAGACGTGAGAAGAAAAAAGTTGAATTTGGTCCCTGCATCAGCCACTTTGTGATGCTGAGCACCCCAGGTTTTGAAGTGTCCTTGTACCCTTTAAAGTAGAAACAGAACCTAAAACAAAATGCTGCCAATAGAGCTACAATGGAATCCAGTTCAGCCCTGCATCAATCATTGCTGGGTGTGCATAATGCCTGTTTTAAAGGACTCGTACACATCTGACAAAAGGAGGCAGTTTGACCTGCCTCTTGACTTAGCTATTCAAAGACTGTCACAGGTCTTAAATTTTAAATACTCTTACATGTCATGTACCAGAATCTCGGGTGGTGTGGTGGTAATGCACTGGACTACTAACCACAGGTTAGCAGTTTGAAAACACCAGCCACTCCACAGGAGAAAGATGAGGCTTTCTACTCCCATAAAGAGTTAAAGTCTCAGATCTGTTCTCTGGGGTCACTGTCAGTCAAAATGGAGGTTTTTCACACAGCACGTAAGAAGTCCCCAAAGGGCAGCTCTCCTCTGCCCTATTAGAGTCGGCGTGATGACTTTGTTTGGGATTTTGAGAGCACACCATGTGGTATAAACCCAAACTCACGGCCGTAGAATCAATTCTGACTCATAGCAACTCCATGGGACAGAGTGCAACTGCCCCTTTGGGTTTCTGAGGCTGTAAGTCTTTATGGGAGTAGAAAGCTTCATCTTTCTCTCGTGGAGCGGCTGGTGGTTTCAAACTGCTGACCTTGTGATGAGCAGGCAGCCCAATACATAACCAGCCATCCAGACTCCCACCTTGTATATCAGATATATCAAGTATATCAAAATACATTTAGCCATTTCCTTGTTGACTATTTGGTTATCTCAAAGTACTGTAAGAAATAAATCCTGAAATATCTTTGTTTTTAAAGAAGTACCTATATACTCGAGTATAAGCCGACCCAAATATCAGCCAAGGCACCTAATTTTACCACAAAACGGCATTAAAAATGTGCTGAAAAACTCGGCTTATGCACGAGGACATAGGTAAGTAAAATTATACTGCCAATAATGTTATTTCTAGTTCATACATTCCAAACAAAATATGATCTCTTTGGAGGTTTTCAAATTATTAACATTTTTCTAAAACTCTTATTGTACAAAGGAGTTCAAATCAGGATCAATCACATTAAAAAAAAATTATCCATACATTGGGATCTTAAGGAACCCCTTTAGTCATCCTCTCTGTAAAGTCAAATACTGTATACTTCTTTTAAGGCAACTAGTGCCAAATCCCATTTCATTTTTATTTTTCAAAATGTTGTCATAAACATTCTTAATGAAGAAGAAGGTAGAATCAAGCCAAACAGGAAGAGGCTAGCTGGAGAGCTCAGATCACGTGCATGCAGCCCTTGGGTCGCGTTGCCTTTTAAAGGAATTGTCACTTTCCACAGAAATGTGACGAGGCTGTTTTATGTCCCCATCACCGAGGAAGACACTTCACACACGAGCACACACAAGCACATACTCTGAATGTTAGCATTTCTTGTCCTTAGTCAAGGGCAGTGGAGCTCAGTAGCTGAGTAGTGGAATGTGGGACACAGCGGCAGCCTTTGATTGAGCCAAAATGAACCAAACACAAAATATGAACCAAGATAATGCTGCAAAGTTGAGCAGACCACCGTAACTACGTCAATCCAATTTACACATGGATGGAAATGATGGAAAATCCAATGTCTCTGCGGTGGTCTGTAATTTCTTATCACGTGCGTGTGCGCACAGAGGTAAAAACCTAACATGCCGTTTCAGCTAGATTTATTATCAGGCTGGATTAACTAGCGTTCAGATGAGCTCTATTGACAGTACATCCGAGAAGTGGGGCTTCTTAGTTCTTTGGCGATCTTAGGAAGCTGAGCTCCCAGAGGAACGTCCAGGGCCCCTGCCTCCCTCACATCTTGGCTGCTGTTCCAACCACCTCCCCACCCCAACCCCAGCCTAGAAATGTGCAGTAAACAGCAGCTGCCTAATTACCCATTCCCACTTGGGGAGGAGAGCAGATGAAGGTCCCTGATGTGCCTTAACCCCCGTTAATGTGTCCCTGAGTAATGGAGAGTTGGCTAAGGTTTGTTCCCTTTCCTCGACTCCTCCTCTCACTTCCCTAGTTAAGTGAACACTGACCACCCGCAAAATGCCTCAATCGCCTGTCCATTGTGGTTACACAAAACCCCATAGGGGTGTGCATTACATAACCAGTTACGCATGTGCACACACTTGCTTCCATGCCCCTCCATGGAGGAACCGTCCCCTACGCTCCACATGTGTGTGTACGGATGTGTGCGTCCGTGCGCCTTCATGCAGACACTTTTAATCATGGCTGAGATATCATCTTCCAGTGCATCTGGTGCTCTGGGGGCTTTCTTTAATATCACGATTCTTCTTGGCACCGGTCTAATAAGAGTTCTGAAACCTACTAAGTAAAATCATATGTCGAAATCTTCAATACACATCTTTGTGGCCTTAGCGAAGAGGGGAATGAGTGTGAAACCTGGACATATGTGTACGAGAGGAAAAAAAACCCTACATTAAAAAAAGAGAGAGCGACTGTCTCCGACCAATAAATGAGTCTTGAAATTCGAACCGTCCTTTCCAGAAGAAGCGCACTGGCGGTTGCCGCTCTGAAGAAGAGCAGGTGGCCTCTCCCTGGGCCCAGCTGGAGGAGCCGCGGCGGCACCGCAGCCAGGTTGGCCCTTTAGGAGCCTCGGTCTCCATGCCGGCAGCCTGCCCTCCGGGCCACGGCTACGGGGTTGCGTTCTCCCAGAGGAACGCCGAGTGACAGGCCTTTTCGTTGAAAATGAAACTATAAAAAACCATCAAGAGGATCTTTGCTTTTGAACCAAGCGAGCCCCAGAAGGCTGCGGGGCTCCAGGGTTTCTGGGAGGACGGTAAATTCCTGCCCCAGTCGCACGGGTCCAAAGGTTCTGGTGCGGGTGCGGCGTGGCCCGGAGCGCCGCGATCCTGCCCCAGAGTTTTCAGGTGTGTGCTTGCAGTTAGGCGATGCCGTGACACGGTGAGACTCACCACGAGGCCGCATAACCCCGAGCACATGCCACGGCCACGTGTGCCCGCCGTCTCGGGACCCAAGGTGCAAGTGACCTGTGTGCTTGCTCTGAGAAATGCACCATTTTAATACGTCGTAGGCACTAGTATATCAAGGAGAAAGAGAAGGGTTATAAAGAAAGTCCAAACGAATGTAAGACCGTTTTATCTACTTCTACGTATTCTTCAATGAATAGGTATCTATTTCAACATTTTTCTTCAATGAATAGGTACTAATTTTAGGGGAGACACATTATTAGGGTGTTTCTCAGCATAGTCTCTGAGCTACGTTGCCTGCGTGAAATCAAGCAAGTCATGGAACATCCCTGAGTCTCTGTTTTCTTCCTAATAAGAAAGGGAGCCCACAGTAGCACCTGCTTCCTAAGACTGCTGTGAGAAAGAGCGTTCATTTGTAGGAGATGCTTGGAATTGCAAGTATACTGTATACGTCAGTTATTATTATCTGAGAGAAGTCACACATGAATAAATCCAGTATGTGGAAGTCCCATCTTCCCCAATCCTGGTGAATATTCACATTAACGACGGCTTTTGTTACCTTATTCACTGGCTGAGAATAAAATGGCATCATCTTTGTGGTTTAATTTAAGATACATGTCTTAATTCCTACTTTGAACTTTTCTCTTGGCTGGATACAAAGTTGGACTAGCTGGATAGTTGTTTTGCCTTGGTTAATGGATAATTCTGTGTTTATTTTAAAAGAGAACTACTCCTACCATACAGTCCAAACCTGACTAAAAGAAAATATAATTAGATAAATTCCTGTCTGAGTTAGAGATTGTTATTTACACAAAACTTTTGTTTGGGATAAGAATGTCGTAAATCCTGGGGAATTAGCTTCCAGGGACAGATCTGATCAGTTGTCCTCAGTTTCTAGAACTAACGGCCTGCTTCCATCCCACCCGCTTTTGACCGGTCGTGGTGTTGAGTGACCACTTCCTGGTCAGTCCCGTCTCTCCAGGCTCTGACTAAACTGCAATCCTGACTCCTTGACCGGTTCTACCCCAGTCCCTCCTCTGACTTCCTGCCCACAGTCTTCTTCCCCTGAAGTACTGTTGGTCAGTTGCTGCATTTGAGCCTCTGCTCTTTCCCAGCAAAACCACCTTCTGTCTAAGGCACATTTCCAAGACCTCGCTTTTGCAAACCCGTATCTCCCGCTCCATCTTCTTTCTTAAGTACCTGCCTGACTTGTATCTCTAGCTGCACACTGGACCCTGCCTTTGTGTCTGTCTTTTGCGTGCTGAAGACTCAACATGGCCAAATCAAAATTCATTCTCTCCTTATCCATTCTCTTCTTGTTTTCTCTGTAAAAGCAAAGGATTTCCTTTCCTTTCTATGGACCTCAACATAATTTACTCAAATCTGAACTCATAATATTTTAAATTTAACTGAAGCTTGAGTTAATGAAGCCTTTATTGGTATGCTTATTGTCTTTTAGATTATCATCTGCGGAAGACAGATCATCTGTAGTTACTTGTCTCAAAGCATAGAACTGAAAGTTGTTCAGCATTACATTGGTCAAGATGGACAAGCTGTGGTTCGAGAGCGGTTTGACTGCCTCACCTCCAAGCAGAAATTGCCCTCCTACATCTTGGAAAGCAGTGAGCTGACAGAGCTGTGTGTGAAGGCCGAAGGGGATGAGGACTGGTCAAGAGATGTACGCCTGGAGTCCAAGGACCCCGAGTACAGCATCGTCATTCAGGTAGGAGACGCCATACCGTTTCGAATAGAGAAACTTGACAAATAAATTTTCCTCAGGGTGCTCTTTATCTATCATGATATTTATTAAAAGCAATGTAGGCAAGATTGAAATTTATAAAGGCCTTGAATAGCACTTCTGAAACCATTTCCTTCCCATCCCACGTAACACATTTGCAACAGTTCCACTGGTTCTCACAGCCCAGACTCTGTCCCTGTAGACGGTGCCAAGTAGTATCTTGAAAAAGACCCTGATACATGAGGGCTGGGGTGGGGACAGGGTGATGTCCTCCCCATTAGAGAAGCTCCGTGATGGTCAGATCCCTCTGTGTCCCACTCAGACTCGACCAGCATCACTTTCATTCCCTTAAAGGACACAGCCTCTCCCTGGAGCTGCCCCCTCCCTCAGTCTTCCATCAGTCTCTCCTCATGCAAACTTTCTGACTTCATGGACAGAACTGGCCCCGTCAGCTCAGTGCTTGCTCAGTTTATGCTATGATGAAGAAGTGTGTTTTAGCTTAGTTGTTCTATTTTTTAATGGCTTTTCCCCCCTGTAACTTTAAACTCTCTTTTTTCCCTCCAACCTGATCTATCTGTGCCTTGTTTTGTTTAAATGGTAAACTGGTTAGTGTTTATTGGGACGTTTTTTCTATCTCCTGTGCAGGTGCCGTCTTCAAACAGTTCCATCATTTATGTCTGGTGCACAGTTTTGACTTTAGAACCCAATTCTCCAGCACAGCAACGGATGGTGAGCGCGTTCCCAGTCCTAAAATATGGTATATGACTCTGACCTTTCCTGTTCCGAAATAAACTGTCAGAGTGACCCAGAGGAGAGATTTACTGCCAGCTTGTTTCAGCATCAAACAGCTGGAACACTGCAACAAAGCAAATATGAAAGTTGTCCTGTCCTTTTTATTTTTATAGATTGTGTTCAGCCCTCTTTTTATCATGAGGAGTCATCTTCCAGACCCCATTATCATACATTTGGAGAAAAGGAGCCTGGGATTGAGTGAAACACAAGTCGTTCCAGGAAAGGGGCAGGAAAAGCCACTGCAAAACATAGAGCCTGACCTTGTACATCACCTAACATTTCAAGCAAGGTACTGGGAAGTCCGTGTGTCTGCATAAGAGACATGGGGTAGAAAAAGAAAGCTTGTAGGACTTGAAGGGAGGGGGTGGCGGTGGGGGGCGGGGTTTGGTTGTTTGGGTGTGATTTCTTGTCTCATGAGAATGTTGTTTTTAAATGGCCTCCTCTAGTGTTTTCTTGGAGCTCTGGGGCCACAGTGGTTAAGGCCCCCGGTGCTAACTGCAGGATGGGTGGGTGGAAGCCCCCAGCAGCGCTGTAGCAGAGAGTTTCTGGTTTGCTCCCATAAAGATGAATAACCTGGGAAACCCGTAGGGTGTGACTCTGCTCTGTCCCATAGAGTTGCCAGGAGTCAGGATCAGCTTGAGGGCTTAACACACAGGACACTCATGGAGCCTTGGGTGGCACAAATGGTTAAGCGCTTGACGATCAGCAGAGGGTTAGCAGTTCGAGCCCGCCAAGAGGCACCGCAGAAGAGCAGCCTGGTGGTCTGCTTCTGCACCGTCCAAGCCTTGAAAAGTCTGGAGCAGTTCTACTCTGTTCACATGGGGCCCGCAGGGGGTGAGGGACAGCGGACCCTTGCTGTTGACCGCTTGCCACCTGACGGGACGCAATGGAGCTGCCCCACAGGGGTCCCAAGGCAGACTGCTACATCTTTGTAGCCCGTGGAGCGTTGATAGGTTCAATCCCCACTGTGTTTTTGGTTAGCTACCTAGCCCACCCACCCACCCACCCACCCAGAGTGCCTTAGCAACAACCCCAGGGTTCATGTCTTCTCTTCTGTAGTTTTACATAAAATGCAGTAGACTTAGAAATAATCAAGGGAGATCACACAGGAAATGTAACTGATGGACACTTTCTACAGTGGAAGAAGAGATGAATAATAGAGATCTCACCCAAGGGGCAGGGGAAGAATAAGAAAAGCCAGGGCCTAGAGTATCCTTAAAGTTTGATCAGGCTAACCAACCAAATGGTAGCCTAATCCCACCGAAAATACCAGTCTGTAATATACTAGGGTAAGTGGGAAAAGCCTGGCTAGAAGACATGGGCACCTTTCTTCACCAGACAACAGCATCACAATGTGAACTTGTCTCGCCACACACATGCTCCACCTGCGTTCGTACACTTCTGAGGGAGGGGTGTCCACCCCTCTAACCCTTCCCTGAAGGAGTCTGCACTCCTCAGTGACAACAGTTTGGGCGTGGTTGAGGGCATGAAATCATGTTCCTTTTTAAATGTCCTTTGAGTTTGGACAACAAAAAGAGGCCTGGAGGAGCCACCATCAGGGCTGTAGGGGACTCACTGAGGGTTCCCAGTGACATGTCCATAGGACAGCCCTTGCAACCCTTGAAGAATGAGCAGGTGCGTGGCCATGATTGGGGGGGGGGGGGGATCTTTGGTGCAAATTTTCTGGCTTTTTCTCACCAGTGTACTGTTCCATCTTCCTAAAATGTCCGATCATCTTTAGTCCTTTGGGAAAAATCTGTCAAGATGACCCCTCTGGAATGCAAAAGAAGCGTTTCCATACCCTCGGAGCTGCCTTGAATTGAATTATCCCAGCAGACCTCCTCTGCAGCCACTGTCTTGATTGGACCTGTTTTTTGAAGGCACCCCCATGAGTCTAAGACAAGTCTGAAGGACTCTGAGAACGTGTCTGCAGCCTTCCGCTGAGCACAGAGCTGTGTTGACGGGCATGGTGTGGAATAAGCCCTCATGTGGGTGAACTGGAAACCATAGTAGCAGCACTTTCCAACTTGCCCTTGTTTTGTTGTTGCTCTTGTTGTTTTCTTCAATAAACGGTAGACCACTTTAGAAAGGCCCAGATTATCCAAAACCTGTCGTCGCCGATAGGTGCTGTCCAGTCGGTTGCAACCCATAGTGACCCTGTGCACAACAGAATGAAACACTGCCAGCCTCACAGCTTCATAATCTTCATAATCATTCCCATGTTTGGGACCATTGTTGCGGCCACTGTGTCAGTCCATCTCCCCCAGGGTCTTCCTCTTTGTCGCTGCCCCTCTACTTTACCAAGCCCGAGACATGCCCAGGTTCGTGCGACAGTCTTTTGCCGTGCTTGCGTCTGAGAAGTAGTTCTTCCAAGACAGAGATGTTGTTTCTTGGGCGGGGCGTGGGGGGTGGGGGTGGGGAGTCCCTGCCCATGATCCTTTCACTACTTTTTGCCAGGACCCCAGTTACAACGCAGTACCGCAAGCCAAACGCAACAGCACAATTCAAATGTATCGATTCTTTTTCAAAACTTTAGTCAGTCTCAGTAACCAAATATTGGTCTAATCTCATGAAAAACATGGGTCGGTAACAGGTTGTTGTTAAAGGGTTTTCAATTAGACCTCTTTACAAATCTGGAATTTATTCTTGGCTTTGTCTTCCCATTTCACAGAGAAGAAGACGATCCTTCAGATTGTGCCATTCCCATTTCAACATCCCTCATTAAGCAAATAGCCACAAAGCTGCACCCCGAGGGCCCGGCTAGTCAGCTCCTCACAGAATTCTATGGGACAGAGAAATCCCTTCGACCCGTGTGGCCCTATGTTACAAAGGATTCCGAGAGGTAATGGTCTCCAGTAATCTTTTTCAATAAGCTTGCCCAGCATTAAGAAAGACGTGACCATTCATTAAAAAGTGAGATAGCATGAAAGGTATCAAAAAGTCAGCCAGTAGGCCAGAGGATGTACACTGATACAGATAGGAACTGGAAACACGGAATTTAGGGCAGATGATCCCTTCAGGACCAGTGGTGTGAGTGGCGATGCTGGGAGGGTAGAGGGAGAGTAGGTAGGAAAGAGGGAACCGATTACACGGAACTATACGTGACCTCCTCCCTGGGGGACGGACAACAGAAAAGTGGGTGAAGGGAGACGTCAGACAGGGCAAGATATGAAAAATAACGATTTATAAATTATCAAGGGCTCATGAGGGAGGGAGGAGCGGGAGGGAGGGGAAAATAAGGACCTAATGCTGGGGCCTTAAGTGGAGAGGAAATGATTTGAGAATGACGAGGGCAATGAGTGTACAAATGCGCTTTACACAATTGAGGTGTGCATGGATTGTGATGAGAGTCGTATGAGCCCCAATAAAACGATTGAAAAAAGTCAGCCAGGAGGTGTTTTCCTGTGTGACCTTTCATGTTAGCAGCTAATTCAGTGTGTCTTGTAGATTTCTTTACTCATCCTCTAGAACCTAATTAGTTGAAAAGTTGTTTCCTCTGGGGTGCAAATGGACCCCTGGATGAGGGTGATGTGGAGAGGTATCACCCGGACCGGCATTGTGTGCCGGGCATCTGCAGTGTAGTTCTCGAGTGCTGACATCATCATACTTCACTGAGTCTCTTGGCTGTGGTCTCTGGAACAGGAACGAACAGCTGAGTCAGTGGGATAGCCCGATGCGAGTAAAGCTGTCGGTCTGGAAGCCACATGTTAAAACCCTGTTGATAGAACTTCTGCCCTGGGCTCTTCTTATCAATCAGTCCAAGTGGGACCTCTGGCTGTTTGAAGGAGAGAAGATCGTTCTACAGGTTCCTGCTGGCAAAATTATCATCCCTCCTAACTTTCAGGTACTATAACTTTTTAACCTAATATGAATTCTTTGCTCTCAACAACTACCTTGTCCCCAGAGGGTGCATTTCTCCTTTTAACAGAACGAATGACTTGTGGAAAACTGCCCCTCATGCCCACGTAAGGAGTGTGGGCTGTGCTTTGATCTTCAGAGGCTTTCAGGGGTCTTTGTTTTCCCGTCAGCCGTAGTTAAACTGAGTTCTCCTTGAATTTTGTAACCTACACCAGTCACATTCTTCTTCCCATTGTGCACAGCATGTTTGACAAGATATGTTTTAAGGATAGAGAGCTGTATTGTGTGTTAACCTAGCCCCTAGATGTTCTAGCACAAATTCTCTGAGTTCCACACATGGACAGGAGTGGAGGATTTCAGAACAGCCATTTTTCTCAGGCTCTTTCCTTTACAAGCTGACTTGGCTAGCCTTAATTACAGATGCCTCCCCACTTATTGATGATGAGGAAGTGGGATCATTCCTGGCACAAGGAGAAAACCTAATTGTAAACCAAAATCTCACAGGAAGACTCTTAAGTACAACCACTAGAGGACTTTCTTTATGAGGTTCAATCATTTCCAAAGGGCACAGTAAGTCTACAAGAAAAAAAAGTGGAAGGAATTCCCAAATCAAATGTTTTATGCTTCTCGGATAAGGAAAACTTTCAGAGGTTGTTGATGAGATTGTTAGTTTTTGTTAGCATCTTTATTCGCTTGCATTATTTTTCTTTTAAACCATCGGTTGATGTTACCGTATGGAATTGGAATGTTCACTTACATGGGCCTAATGTTGCGTATACTCTTTTGTCAAAGTAGATGACATCTTTAGTTTTAAGCCTTTGGGATTTACAGAATAGGCACAGTTTAAGGTTTTGTTTACTTTTTACCCTTCCATAAATGTGAATTCCACTGTAAATCAAAAAAGACACTGAAAGGCAAAATAAAATGTATATTCCTATTACTCCCCCCCCCCCAAAAAAAAACAGAAAGAGAAGAAAAACTGTAAAGGGATTTAGTTGCCTTAACAGACCCATTATATAATAATGATTTTTTTGAAAATCTCTGAAGATTGAGGTTTAAAAAAAATCAAAGCTAAGAAAAAAATACTTCATAATTGAAGCATTGTTTTTCCAGGAAGCTTTTCAAATTGGAATATACTGGGCAAATACAAACACTGTGCACAAGTCAGTAGCAATTAAACTGGTCCATGACCTGACATCTCCAAAGTGGAAAGATGGAGGCAACGGTGAAGTTGTGACATTGGACGAAGAAGGGATTGTTGATGCTGAAATACGACTTGGTGCCTTCCCAGGACATCAGAAGGTAGGGTCAGAGTCTGTGTTGCTCAAGGGCAAACCACATACCATCTCCTAACCCGTCTGCAATGAGTCGACTCGTTTCTTCTCTTCTTCTTCTCCTTCTTCTTCTTTTCAATCCTTGTTTGATAATACTTGTTCAGAACAACTTATAGACAGACCTCTTAGACCTCTGAATGTCACCGTGATGTGTGTCTGTGTTTGCGTGTGTTTTCTTTCCCTCGAGCAGTGATAAAAGTTGTGCCACATAATTCATCCAGGAACCGCTCTATTTCAGAGCACTCAACAGTTCCTTGATTTATAGCCTGTGGGGGAAATGAACTTATTCCCAAACATCCACAAATGGCAGTTGGCCTCCTTTTTCTAGAGCAGGAAGTAGTGTTGCTAGCCTTCTGAGTGAATGGAGGGAAGGACAAAGGCCACAGCAGCGAGGACTGTGTGCCCGGAAAGGGACCACTGAGCCAAGGCTGTGGGTCCGGACGCTTTTCCCATTGGCTGGGCTCACTGCCGTCAAGTCGGTTACGACTCATAGTGACCCTCTAGGCCAAGGTAGAAGGGCCCTGTGGATTTCTGTAACTGTAACTCTTTATGGGAGTAGAAAGCCTCATCTTTCTCCATCAGAGTGGCTGGTGGTTTCAAACTACTGACCTTGTGGTTAGCAGCCAACTCTTTTTTTTTCTTTTTTAAACTTTTTATTCTTTAATTTTATTGTGTGACTTTTTTTTAAATCGTTTTATTAGGGGCTCATACAAGCAGCCAACTCTTAACCGCTACAAGAACCCATGTCATATGAGATAATTTTGGAACAGGGGACTGGTACTGTCCTTTTACAGGTATTGATACAAAATAAAAAGCATACTTCGTTTCATCAGTTATATAACTGAATACAAATGATGTGTGCTATTCTGCATCAATCTTTTCTACAGTCCTTGAGAACCAACTAAACTGCATAATATCACTAATAAATCCCATTAAATGGTATGTGTGAAGGTACAGTATCATAGTGTCCCAGGCAGAGTTCTCATTCCTGCACTTGCAATGTCATCATTTTTCTTTGTTGTTGTTGTTATTTTCCCAAATCAGAAAATAGGGATTTGTCATTAGAGCAGTAGAATTCAGGATGACCACTCTCTGGGGGAGAAGTTAGATTTTGATGGGCATCTATGAAGAGTCTGTAGAGAAGACTTAGGGTCACGTGGTAGTGTGTGTGTGTGTGTGTGTGTGTGTGTGTGTGTGTGTTTGTTTTAATAAATTTTCCTGATACAAAGAAGTTAGGCTTTCCTCAGCACTCAAGGCTGGTATCCATTTCCTCAAAGTGGTCTGGGCAGTACATGTTTATGCTCTGCCCGCCACAGTACTGTAACACGGGTGTAAGTGGCAAAGACTGTAAGTGTGAGTCACCCAACGTTTTCTCGTTGTAAATTGAGAGGACTGCCATCCAACCTGGGGGAAATGTTATCATACACAGCCAAACACTCAATACCTTCTTCACCTCTCAGCGTGGGACCCTAGAAAAGACGGAATAAAATGCTTGTAAATAAACGAATGAACTGTTGGAAACTATGTTGACATTTCTTCAGTCTTCAGTAGAGATCAAGAAAATGAAGACTGAGAAAGTCATTTTAATGAAGGGAGTAAGCCGTCGTTTCGGAAGCCGTTGGAGAGCACAGTGGTTCAGCAGTGGGCAGCTGACCAGCCAAGTCAGTGATTCAAACCCCAGCCCCGCTGATGAGACCATCTGCTCCTGCCAAGGGTTAGGCTCAGGAACTGTGCACAGTCTTTGTGCATCCGCATCGGTTCAGTGGAAGTGGATTGGAAGGATGGTGGGCAAGGGCTCACTGAGTAGCAGTGTGAAGGTCTGGGGGATATTTAACTGGGGAGGTCAAGGTGAACTAGCAGCTTGAGAGAGATAGCGGAGTTAGATTGTTTTGTTATTATTAAGAGACAAAGAAAGGGAGCATAATGGCCAATAACTCAAGCCGGTGCAGTGTTGGCCTTGCTGCTTGACTTAACAGTTCCTGCCAACAGACAGAAAGGAAGGAAGCCCTCTTGAAACGTATACAGGCTCGGAATTAGAATAGCAGATGTTACTAAACTACACGGAAAGACTGAGATATAATAGGAATCTTTGCAACAGATAGCTAGCTGTAAGCCATCCCACAAGTACCGACTCACTGTGACCCATGTGACAAAGTGGAACTGTCCCAGCGGGTTCTGCAGGCTGTGACGGGAGCAGAGCTTTAGTAGGTCTTTCTTCCCCCAGAGCTGCTGAGTGGGTTCAAACCACCAACCTGTCCGTTGGCAGCCAAGTGCTAAACCATTACACCCCTAGAACTGCTGCTTTTTGAGATCAGGGCTGGGGGGTGCATTGCTCTCAAGATAGCAGCTGTGTTTCTTCTAAGGTAAGCCTCAATGCAGTGAAGTTCAATGAGCACTGGGGTAGCCTTTACTAAGTGTCAGATACAATGCGTTAGGAGCAGAATTGTTGAAACTGTTCTGTGCTTTGGATCCTCTTAGGTTCAGTCCTTTTAATCATCTTCTTTCAAAGAAGAAAGTGTTTCCACATTTCAGGGCAACCACTCTTGTGTTAGAATTGATTAGCAACCTGGTTCATGAGCTTAGCTATCAAAGAATCTATGTTCACATCCCCACATTACCACTCACTAGATGGATATCCTTGGGCAAATAGCGTATTCTCTGAGCGTCCGTTCCTCGCGTACATTGGGAAGGTGATCAGGTGATCACATGTACTGGAGCTTAAGAGCAGACAGCTAGAGGGCTGACAACTAGCTTGGTGCTAGCTTTGCATAACACCCTGTGCCCCCTATTCCTCCTCTGTAAAACAAGAATAGTAGTAGCTACTCCTTTTCAGTGTCATGAAAAGGATTTAGTGAATAAATACATACCAAGTACTTAAAGCAAGTGGAGAACAAATGTGTAGTTGTCGTCTCCTCCTGTCAAGTCCATGTACAGCAGAACACAGCGCTGCCAGCCCTATACCAGCTTCACAGCCGAGCTTAGGTTTGAGCCTGTTGCTGCAGAGATGGTCAGTGCACCGCATTGGGGCAGTGGGTGAGTGTGGGGGGGTCTTCCTCTGTTTCTCTGGCCTCTACTTTACCATGCGGGATGTCCTTCTCCATGGCCTTGTCCCTTCTGACGACAAAACGTCCAGAGTACATGAGGCAAAGTCTTAGCGTCCCTGCTTCCAAGGAACCCCCATGGATTCCATCAGCACAGGTCTGCTGGTGTTCCCGGCCGTCCCGGGCACATTGGGTGTCTTTTGCCAGCACCATCATTCAAAAGCATCTGTTCTGGTGCCATCTTTCTTAAACGTTGTGCAGCTTTGACGGCCATTCGGAGAGGCGATTGGAAATATCCTGGCACACCTTAGACCTCAGTGATGGGTTTGCCTTTCCACACTTTGTAAGGCGGTCCTTTACAGCCGATTTGACCAATACCAAGCATTGTTTGATTGCTTGACTGCTGCTTGCATAGACACTGATTGAGGGTCCAAGAGAAACGGGACCCTTGAAATCGTAAGTCTTTTCTCCATGATGACGATGTGTATCGCTCCAATTCTGAGGTGTCTGTGCCCTTTACATTGCAGTGTTCCCTACTGCACACTGTAGTCTCTGATCTTCATCAGTAAATATTTCAAGTCCTCTCTGCTTTCAGCCAGTAAGGTTGTGCCGGTTGCATATAGTTGATTACTAATGAGCCTTTCTCCGATCCTAACGCCCTGCCCTTCTTCACAGAGTCCAGCTTCTCAGACTATTCGCTCAGCATCCAGATGAAAATGTATAGTAGTCACTTGTTATATCTATCTCCTATTCTTCCTCCTCCTCTTCCTCTTCCTCTTTAGTAGTTTTCAGAATTGGCCTTGCAAGGGGAAGGCATTTGTTGAGGTGGATGTTCACAGGAAGAGCTCTGGATTTGATGCTCTATCTTGAGAAAGATGAGTGTTGTCCACTGATGGAGAAGTGCCCTCTCGGAAGTCTTTTGTGAGGTAGTTGGTGAAACCACTGGAAAGCAAGTCTTTCTCTGTCACTACCCACCAAACAGAGCTCCTTCCCCTGGAGTGGCTCCCCTGACTGACAGAGTAGAACCGCACAGTCGGACCTTCCTAACAGGAACTCAGAGGAGCAAACACCTGGCCTTTCCTCCGTGGCACTGCTGGTTGGGTTGGAGCTGGCAACCTTTCATTGAGTACTCCAGCGCCAACTGTCTACACCAACACCACCCCGGGACCTCTGTCACTAGACAGGACAGCGGAAGTAACAGGTTTGCTGACATGCCTGTAGTAGTTACAACTGGGCCCTAGTGAGTCACGTCCAACTACGTTAAACAGTTCCATCCAACCATGGCATCTCTGAGACAGAAAGAGCACTCTAGAAAGTAATTGCTCAGGGGCAAAAGGATGGACAGGCTTGTCCTGGGAGATGTGCTCGGTGAAATAGGCTGTCCCAGTCCGGAGAGGTGTTCCCTGTGCCCAGGCACATTTCCGAACTGCTCCTCCCCGCCCCACTTGCCTTGCAGTTCTGCCAGTTCTGCATTTCCTCCATGGTGCAGCAAGGCATACAGATCCTCCAGATCGAGGACAAGACCACCGTCGTCAACAACACCCCCTACCAGATATTCTACAAGCCGCAGCTGGCCCTCTCTGGCCCTCACTCTGCGGGGAAGGAGGTAAGGCGCTCTGAACACGATCCTTGTCAAAATGCGGTCGGTCGACAGCCGGCAGAATTCACAGTGTTGAACCTGGGATGCGTCAAAACCAACAGCGGTGGCAGGTGAAGAGAAACCCGCTTATTTGTGCCTCTGGCTGAAACACCTGCATGCCCTGGCCAGAGCTCCCCAGGTAAGTCACGGGCAACATCCGGCAGATGCGGACACACCACTGGTCTCGCCTGCCTGTGCCACATCTGGGCAGAGGCTGCAGCCCAGTCAGCCAGCATGCCTACTGCATTTGCAGCCCTCGCCAGCGGGGACAGAGGCCTGGGGACTGGCTCCAAGTCTCGTGTGAAAAAACATCTGCCTTGCAGGCGACAGTGCCAGGAGTAGCTGCGTGGGCAGGAGGCCGGGGCCCCAGCCAAGCCGCGGGTCTGGGAACCCCACAGCCCGGAGTCTGTGTGGGGCGCGGACGGATCAGCTCGCTCAGAAGAACATCTCAGTGCAGATAGAATGTGCAGAACCCACATCCCAGAGTGTTCCCATTTTCTCCTCAGTGTTCTGTGCCACGGGAACACGTTTTAAAAGACCCCAACTAGAACATGCTAAGTTGTATGCTGTTGGGTTTTGCTTTTAAAGCTGTTGTGTAGGGGGCAATGTTACCTGCATTGACCTTTGAGTGCACTTCTTTTTATTACTCAAAGCCATCAAATTGCACGAAAACCTTGCAGTCCTATACTTGCAACGTGCAAGGGAATTTGTGCACACAAAAATGTCAGAGCAGAGGAATTTAATCTTGGTTCAGGAAGTAGTAAGAAAATAATCGGTAACCCAGTTGATTGCCCCTTTGGGAAATCGAGACAACAATATCTACTCAGTAGGTGAAGAATTTGAGAAGAAGGGAATCATCGTATGAAGAAATTGTCGGCCTCTCCCCTCGCTGGAATGCCCCAGGGCTTCCAGCGACGTGGGGTTGGGACTTGTGGGGTTGGGGCTTTTCCGCACAAGTTTGTCCTCATCTGTAAAATGGGAATAACTGTGTTCCTCGTGGGAACCCTGGTGACGGGTCACACACTGGGCTGCTAACCGCAAGGTCAGCAGTCCGAAACCACTAGTCGCTCCCTCTGTGGGAGAAAGGTGAGGCTTTCGACTCCCGTGAAAAGTTACAGTCTGGAAACCCCACAGGCAGCGATCCTACCACATCCTTTGGAGTCGCTGTGAGTCGAATTCAACCCTATGGCATTGACTGCCTTCCTGGCAGTGATGATGAGGGTTAGCTGAGGTAGTTAAGTCAGGAGGGCAGCCACACAGCACAGGACGGCAGCCGGCAGCAACCACAATGTCATCTTCACAAAGAACTCCTGGCTTGATTTTGGCACATGCGGGGGAGGAGGGGGATAGGGTCTTCCCTGCAGCTAAGGGTTGCCCCCCGTTTTTGGTCCCTGCTTGGGTCAGTACTGGGGATTTCTAAAATTCCAGATAGTCCCGTACCTCTTGAGACTGAGTGGGAGAATGGGCAGGGGGGTAGAGGACCCAAACTGGAAAGCAAGACTCCCGGCTCTGGCTTTGTCACCGAAGCACGTCGTCAGCTATCTGGAGAGCAGTTCCCTGCGCTGTGAGATGTGAATAAGTGGTCCCCAAAGGTCCTTTTTGAGTCAAAGAATCCTAAGATGCTGATGTGTCAAAAACCCTGTGGAAATCCATCTGGGGGTGGGGGTTTGCACCCTGCTATAGTACTATAGTCATGTGCCCTTTCTGCAGTGTCTTGTCTTGTTTTTTCCAGGATTTTCACATTCCAGACGGCACAACTTTTAGCATCTGCCCAGGTGGAGAGCAGGCTGCTGTGAAGTCCGGCTCCCTGCCCTGCTGGGACGTCCTGCCTGACATCAGTCAGCCAGTGCCGGATGCTGCCCTGCTCCAGAAGCAGATCTTGCTGGGCTTCTCTCCTGCCGTGGGTGCCGACAGCTCACAGTGCTGGAGCCTGCCAGCCGTAGTTAGACACGAGTTTCCCAGACAGAGCGTGGCAGTGCCCTTCATGGGCAGTCGGGAGAATGGATTCCGTACCAGGTACTATGCACGCGGGTGAAGGACCTTCACTGCCTACCGGTGTGGCTGTGATCACGATGCCAGGGAGAGAGGAGGACAGGGCAGGGGACCCCAAGTATAAAACCAGGCCCGTGTTTGTAATGACTCCTTGCCATCTCAGTGGCAGAGTGTGTTGAGGGGTGGGGCTGCTAACCGCAAGGTCAGCAGTTTGAAACCACCAGCCCTCTCAGGAGAAAGTCAGGGCTTTCTGCTCCCGTCAAGAGTTACAGTCTCGGAAACACACAGGAGCAGCCCATCGACGCGATGGCAGTGAGTTTGGTCTTTGTTGGTTTTGAGCCACCGTTGGCACATGGCCCGTGTGCCCCTCCCATATGTGCTGCTGATGCGGTCTTCCCCGAGGTGGCCTGCGCCGAGGGGCACGGGCCGCAAGCCCTATGGAATAGCAACAGTGTGGTTGGAAAGATGAAAGGAAGGAGCGGTCTCTCGGCTGACTTCTCAACTCTGTACAATGATGAGCCCGAAGGATCGACTGGTGGAAATGCCAAGTTGGAAAGGCTTTTCCTGTATTTTAAGTTTACTTCAAACTGGAATTGTTCTGAAAAGTTCTTAAAAGATATACCTTATGTAAAACCAAGTCACAGAAGACTCTGTTTTGTGTTTGTTACTGCACGCAAGCCACTCCAAGTACTGATGGCCAGTTATGCAGTAACCACCACAGAAGCAGGCCAGACCCTTGTGAGGGTTAGTTCAGACTGGACGATGACTGGTGGTTATTTGGCATGCCGTAAGTTCTTTCCACAGCTGTCAGGAAGAGCTAACGCGTGCTATATGTAACAGCGCTGCAGGAAAACGTGAGCTTTTGAGAGGTTCCGCATCCTCATGATTATGAATGTATATAAGTTTATTAGAATTTTTAGCTACGTATATACTCGAGCATGAGCCGACCTGAATATCAGCCGAGACACCTAATTTTACCACAAAAACTGCACAAAAAATATGCTGTCTGGAAACACAGTGTGGGAATAGTGCACAGTCTGGCCCCATCACACTGGGGCAGGCACTAAGGGCATGCAGCAGAGCAGCAGGGGGAGCAGAGTGATGAAAGCCCCAGGGAATACCAAAAATAGACTTTGGAGACAGAGTGTGGCACCCCATCTGTATTAATCTAGGTACTTTAGAGAAACAAAGCCACAGCAACTCATGTATAAGAGAGTTTTATGTAAAGAAATTGTGCATCACGAAAACATCCCAACCCAATGCTGCCCAAGCCCACAAGTCCAACATTAACCCATTAACCCAAGACCAGTCCACAAAGACCTCCACCTCA